TCTGAATCTCTTGTCTGAGTAACAGGAGAATTCGACACAGGTTTTTAGTCTCACGGCAACCAGTTTGTAGTCCTGATTCTGATCTATCCGGCAGTAATACGAGGAGAGGATTTTGCTGAGGATATTCTCGTCATCCAGGATTTATCTTGTTTTTCTTGGGAAATGATAAGAGTTTTTCTCCACCTTATGGCTAAATGGACTTTTCGCATAGAGAAGGCGCTGATCGGATGAAGTACAGGATAACTGCACCACAGAACTGTTAAAGACACGCTATGCTATTGTTCTTGATAATATGGTTAGCTTCCGAATAGTCGTCTCGTTAGGAGACTCTTTGTCCATTGAGGATTTTCTCTCTTCTCGAAAAATAAACTCCCATGGAAGGCACGTACTTCACGGTTTTCATTCTCATTTCGATCTCCAATTCCAAATTTCCCTGCCTTGTATTCATTTTCGTTGGAGCTTCTATTCCGGGATTAAAGTCTCGAACGAATTTATAGAAGGTCTTTTGTTGCGGATTATGCCCTCCAGCTGGTTAAAAAGCACCTTCGTTTCATTCACACCTGCATTTCGTTTAGCGGGATTAATCAGTACCAAACTCTTTGCCTCATTTACTTCCAATTATGCAGTGCGTTTAATACTCTCCGTGGAATGTCTTCGTAGTCGGTTCCTGTTCCAGTTTTAATAACACTATCCGTAGATACGACCACTCCTAAAGGGGCGTGTGGCCCATTGGTCGGAGGCGCCCTGTAACACATATGTGGAATCGATCCCCACGCCCATGGCCCACCAAGCCTTCCATTGTTCCGGGGTCGGAAAATTGGTACCAGACTTGTCTGCAAGAATAGCAGCACTGGTTCGATAGATAGGTAGGTTACTGCGAGTCGTTGTGAAGCCCAGATATGCATTCAATCACCTCCGAGTGATGCTCAATGAGGTCGAATGCATGGCGCATACTTCAAGGATTGATCAACGCCGAGGACTGAGAGCTTTATCCTTTATCCTTTTTCAATGACCACTCCTCATCAAACAGTCCTTCCATATAACGACAACGAAGGCTGTATGCACTATATTATACTCTTTCTGTCTTGCTATTTGAATAAGTTATGTTACCTGATTGCCGACATCGTGGAACGTTTTCTTCCACATTTTGAGCTTTTTGTGTCTGCAGTTATATCGACTCTGACCATGTTAATATTTTGTCACTCTTCAATTGAAATTCTGCAGTGTTAGAGGATACTAGCAGTTTTATTTTCGTATTAACTGTGCGTTCTTTAATCTAGTAAAATGGACAGCTCATTAACCTCGTCTAGAGATTTGTCAGATTTGGCTAATTGGTGTTCGATACCTGGAAGCATTTACTTACCATATTCAGAGAGCAGTGGTAAATTGATCGGACCGTTCCACTAATATTTTTGACGATCACAAAAAGGAATACATGACTGCTTGTGTTAGTATCGTTCAAACTTTATGTGGGTTGCTTAAGATTCTGCACAATCTGATAGCGTGGAACGAAGACGTTGCATCGTACGTAGAACGGTACCCACCCATCGTTGAGTCGTTGGCCTCTTTTCAACCGATTGGCCAAGTGGAAGGTCCAGAGCAAGCCAGGGTGGCCAGGGAACGCATTGTGCAGCACTACGACAATCTGTATGGAGTCCAGCTGTAGCACACTATGGACCATTTCTCCATTAGCTTTGTCCTTTTTCATATTAATCTCTTTAACGGGCCATCTCATTCAAATGGTAATGACATCACACGTGTTCAGTTTAATACACTTCACATAAGTTCTAAGTCGTTGTTGCTTTGGTTGTTTTGTTGGATTGTAAATAATTGTGAATATAATACGTTTTATCAGCTCGTGTTAGCTCAACAATCCAAGAATATGTTTCAAATAAAGATTTAGCTTTACTCTGGCGATCCTTAAAAGGATGATTACATTGGGACATTGTAACCTGAAAATTTGGAGATCGGTCTTCTTATGAATACAGAAATACAAACTGCGAAGATTGAATATCTTGTACGAATATCGTGGATTTTGGTCTCTACGAAATCCTACTTTTTGTCTCTGCGCTGGAATACGTGCTGCATGGAGGAAGCTTTAACGAACGAAAAACAAAGCCCTACTTTTCATTCAAAAATCTAGGGCGGCTTCAGATAGAGGAATTTTTGAAATTCTCTTGGCTTCATTTGTCAGCCTGAGAAGAAGGAAATTTATGACATCGGCCACCGAAATTGAGATTGAAACATATTTTGTCGGTTTCATTTTTGTTGAAGAATTAATGTTACGTTTTTAAATGGTCGTCTACAAGGAGATAATTCCAAACAGGATTTCGTTTGTCACAGATTTCCACAGAATTTTCTTACAGTATCACTCCAGCTACGAAGCTTGACTGCTAAGCATATGCCGTTCTGGTATACGACATCTCCATTATTAGCTATTGTGTTACACGGGCCGCACCAGCACTGCTCCATTGGTTGTGGTTTACTCAACGGACACCACGATAGTTATAACTCCGAGGTGATCCCTTCGAAAGAAATTCCTTTAGGCGTGGATGCATGGATACAACGCTTATTTGATTTTCTATATGGAGATACTGAGATCTTCTCAGCTTCCATGACCTTGTTAGGAGCCGAGGCGATGGGTATACAAATCAACACAATATCCGGCACGAATAAGCCCCTAGCTATCCTTACTTACTTGACACCTGGACGGCCTGTCCTTACTAGTTTTTCGGGCCCCAGCATAATCACCATTTTGCGGAGATTTGCTGGTTAAGCCATTGTGGTTCTCTAGAATCCCGAGAACAGCCTGGCCAATGTCCGCCCCAGGTCTTCACCACCACAGGCAGTCGCAGCCCTTGTGGATCACAGGGAGATTTGCCTCCATGCAACTTTGATACTAGGACGGTGGTGGATCTTGGTATTGGTTTACTCTTAGCTAGGCTTCCTGATGGAAACGCCGAACCCCTTCTCAGCTTGGGGACCCAACCGGAGGTACGAATTCCCCTTTGTACATCGCAGTCTGACACCCAACAATACCTCCCAGCCACGATGAGGCGGTAAACCGTTAGGAGGAATATAATATAATATATAATTTATTATATTGTATATATTAATATATTGTATGTTAACCAACAAAGGATAAAGGATGAAGCTCTCGCGTTGATCAATCCCTGAGGGATGTTCCATGCATTCGACTTCATTATGCATCGCTTGGAGGTGATTGAATGCATATCTGGCCTTTACTGACTCGCAGTGGCCTACCGATGTATCGAGCCAGTGTTGCTATCCTCCCGGACAAATTTGGTACCAGTTTGCCGATTCCGGTGGGATGGATGGCATGGTGGGCCATGAGCATCGGTTCCACGTGTGTGTAGCAGGGCGCCTACGACCAATGCGTCAATAATATTAATACTAGTATAATGCTGAGATATTTGCAAAACTGCGGACCGCAGGTGTTTGTAATGCCGATTTGGGCTCCCCAGATCAATCCCGTTGACGGGTGATGCTGATTACAAAAACATCGATAGAACTGGCTGATAGACAGGCGAAACGAAAGACGCGCACGGTGTGGTGGTGAACGCGTTACTCTCCGGAAAGGACAATAGCGCGTTCGTTCCCCACCGCTGACACCTGTGGTCCGGAGTTTTGCAAATATCTCAGCATTATAGTAGTTATATTTCGCAAAGTGCCCTGCCGTTAAAAAGAATAGACGGTAAATAAAAAGATTAAGATTAATACTAGTATTAATATTAGTTAATATTAATATTAATATTATTTATTAAATGTTGAAATTAGTAAATTATGAACCAAATTAAATCAAAATTACTGTTGTCTGTTAAAATGGTTGGGGATAAGTTCCAAACATGTCTAGCATTTTTGCAACAAATCAATGTAGTAGTGAAATCGATTTTCGATACGCTACCATCTGCCTCTCATTCGCTTTGTGTCAACAAAGACAGTTAGCGGTGACGATCTGCACTTGGCGGTGGTCTCTCCGCCCAAATGGCCGCCCAAGCGTCGCCGAACAGCCGGACGACTTCGGTACTACGGCTTCACCCCTGGAGTAGGCTTTTGCAGGAAATGTTCACCGAGAAGGTTCCTGGAAATGTCGATCGCTCGTGTCCAGTCTCATATCTTTGGTAGTTGAAAACCAACTTTTCTATTTCATCCAGCAGAACACCCATGTTATAATGAAGTCTTCTAATAGATTAACCTCTTCAAAAAGCCGACTGAAGTGATGAGCGTCTTCGCTTTGGCAATTGGTGTTTGGGAATGCACACTGAATCTGGTTTGTTATCAAATTAACTGTTGATACTGATGAGAACGGTCATTACCTTGAGAACATCAAATTACTGGCGATTTATGCCTATTGATAGGCTCTCTGATGTTCGTTCATTGCTGGTCTACGGAATGTGCTGGTTTTATAGAAAGTGATTTTTTGCATGGAAATGCATTTTCATCTGTTTGAATAGTAAAACTCATCTACGTAGCTTGGGAAGCCCATGGCAATTAGCTTAATGACTTTTGTATGCTGACAAAAGGATATCCTATCTTCTATTTATCCTAGGATATTATCCTGTATCCTCCTCCTTTTGTATCCTGTATCTTGCTTTCCTTTTGTATCCTTACTCCTTTTGTATCCTTCCTGTATCCTTTGCTTTTGACTTTTGTATCCTTGTCTTTCTACTCCTCCGTAACTTTCTCTCCTATTCTTCTTCGGTGTTCCCCTTCTGATCCGATTTTCTGCTTCTCTAGGTTTTTCACTATTTGTGGAAAAATGTTTCAAGCACTACTAGAAACGTTAATCACTCGTCAAATTCCTTTGTAGGACTTGCATCTTACTTTTCTGTCCGCAGAAGCCTTTTACGGAATTTGCTGTGATATTTTTTAGTCTCAACCGTCGGTTTATCTAATTCATTCTCTTTGCTCTCGTGTTCAATGGAAACAAATCGTAGGAGCATTTCCAGAAATTTGGCATACGAATGATCACCTAGCCGATGAGATTTCTTCTTCCGTGTTTATTTGTCGTTTCCACCTACTCTTCCGATGAAGCCGACTCGTTCGACTTATCGATTCCGGAAGAGGCAGTCGGCAATCCATACCGTCCGCTTTCTACACGGTTGGTGTTTTTCTTATCACTTACTTCTTCCTACATTTCCTAGTCACTCTTCACAGCACGCAACAGCAGTGTTCGTGTTCAGCAGATTAGTCACAGTTCATTTTGGACCATGTTGCTGAGGGCTAACGAAAAAGCATAGAGTGATCTGGAAATAAGGAAAATTTCATAGGAGAAAGTTGAAAATTTGACGACACATTCAGACCTCTAAATGTTTTAAGGTCTTCGGAGTAACGGAGTCTAAATCTAGACGTTTTTACAAATTCATGTGACTCAAAAGATCTCGTTTGTCGCAAATTGTGTATGAACATAGGTTGAGCATCTCATGTACTTCCAAAAGGAAACTCTGATTTCTTGAAAAACGACAGAAGTTCCTGTTTGTGGAAGCTGATAGAGCAGTACTTTCTTGGATTGCTAAGCTCACACGAGGTTGACAAAGATGTTTGGAGGTGCTACTAGAATACTTACTTTGAAAAGAACAATCGTTGATAGTCACTCAAACAGAAAGACATCTGTGAAATCTTCCTACTTCGTACTATGGCACTTAAAATACTCGCTCTGTTTTGTATTTTTTAGCCACTAGACTTCAAATACTATATTATTTCTAACACTTGTCTCATTTTGTCTCACATTCGATTTGTTGTCGTACATCCGTCACCCACAGGGTAGGGATTTACCTGTAGGCCCTCTCAGGTTTCAAATTCGACATTTTGTCCTTCTCATGAATGAAGTTGAATTCAGGGTGAGCATGATTTTCTTGGTATCCCATAGTGGTTAGCCATAACAATGTTTTAACCTCCGTTTACTACTTATTCCTTTTCATGGCAGTGTGCCACCTTCACAGCCGGCTATTGCTGGCCTTTGTCGATCGAGTTGAGTTCTTCACAGACAACCCTCGCATCAAATTGCCGAATGTGGAGGGTTGATGGCTTTGGTTGACCTACAACAAGGTCGAAACAGTATGTATGTATATTGTACGACACCCCATTACTATATTACATGGACTTACGCTCAAAAATTCAACTCAGCATATTTTATAACATTTCAAATGACACTGAATGGGACTGTAAGATGGTGAACAGCTTACGCGTAAGTGGCCGAAGTTGAGTATTCTTGATTGATAACCTAGTTATTTGCTAACTTCAGAGTTGTGGGCGGAGATGACCTGAAGAGAAATCTGTGCTTCTGCAATTACGAAGGAGACATTTGTGACTCTAACAACACCTGCATAAAACACAACAATGCGGCTTGCTTTCATTTCATTAAAGAGGTCTTCATTTCTCCATCACAGAGTTACTTATTTCAAACAATTGATATTTTAACAAGTCTCAAATAATAAATTCTCATAATAGGGTTATATAAAAGTGTTTATAATTTCAAAGAAATTTGAAAGGCATATAATAAGTTCGTATGTGGCGCAGTGGTCGGAGGTACCCCGCAACACGCACGGGGATTCGATCCCCGCGCCCATGGCCCACCAAGCCTTCCATCTCTCCGGGGTCGGCAAACTGGTACCAAGCTTGTCTGGGAGGATAGCACCACTGGCTCGATGCATTGGTAGGTCACCGCGAGTCGTTGTAAAGGTCAGATATGCATTCCATCACCTCCGACGATGCTTAATCAAGTCGAATACATGGCGCATCCCTCAGGGATTGATCAACGGCGCGAGCTTTGTCCTCTCTTTATATAATAACTGACAGTGGAGAAAGTCTAGCATAATGCAAAATATAGAAATCTGCTACCACTTAAGAAATTCTTGGAATAACCCCTGTATTTTTTAAACGAAATTCCTGAAGGACGATTCTTAAAAAAAAGTTGCCTGTCGAAGAATTTGCGACGAAAGTTCGACTTACGGGAAAGTCGTGAATAAAGCCATCAAATACTTCATAAAGCACCTTTTACGAGGCTAAACATCCCAAATTCAAGAATTGCACAACATCCTGCATTTTTTACGTGCAAAAAATAGTTTAATTCCAACCGATGGTTTTTTTTTCGACAATGACGTCCATCTATTGGAAGACGTTCAGTTTTCTTCGTGCGCTTTTCTCATTCCGTTGAGCTCCCACTGTGATTCTTTTTACATGGCGCTCTACTACATATTCTCCTTCTTTATGCATTGATTGTTTCCTATAGCGCCCACACTTTCCTAGTGTTTATATGAAGTTCATGCATATTTTTTAGACTAACATCAGTATAGGCTTACCACCATCGTGGCTTAAAGATGTGACTGACTGTCGAAATACGATTTACCACAGGGTTAAGAGGGTAGCAGCGAGCTACCATAGTCTTCCATGTTGAGAGGAAGTATAGAACTTACATAAACAAGCCAAACTTAAATTCTTACTAAAAACGGTACAAGTTGAGCGCCGATAGAAAAAATTGATGTCCATTGGTGTCCTTTGTACAGCTCAACGTGGCGGATGGAATTTATTGGTGCCGGCCGGGGTTGATCGATAATTTAAGAGGTTGCAGATAGTAGAATTGATTGCTACCACGAATCGAGTTCTCCTAACTTAGTTCTTCTTGCTGATCGAACTCTAGGGCTTTATCAATCTTGTCCAGTTGACGCATGTTTCCTTAATTTTCCCTGAGCCAAATTAGCTTGTTCCAGTTACAATGAAAACCTAAGTCTAAGAAGTTCTTCTGGTTCGAATGGAATGTTAAATGTTTTTGGGGAAAGAAAAGGTATTTCATCGGTTTGATAAAGCCAGAGAAACCCAGTTTTCTTAGCTCGATGGATGTTCACATTTAGTCGAAGTGTGAAAATCGAGTCATTTAGGCAGATTATGTAGTAAAGAATAAAGCATAGGTGATCAACTTCTTTATCAATCTCTGAAGGATGCGCCATGCATCAGACTTCATTATGCATCGACAGAGTTGACTGAATGTGTATCTGGCCTATACTTGACTTGCGGAGGCCTACCGAAGTGTCTAGTCAGTGTTTCTATCTTCCCAAACAGGTCTACTACCATTTCGCCGATCCTGAAACGATGGAAAGCTTGGCGAAGTTGGCGCTGGAGGGAACCCATGTGTATTGCAGAGAAGGAAGGAAAAAGTTGAAAAGAAAGATAGATTTAAAACGACTTGTTCAAAAAACGCCGTTTATGTTTAGGTTTATAATGGAGAGTTACGGCGCATGGAAACCGTTCATCAATACGGTTGTGCAAGCTTGGAAAAAGGCAGCTCAGCCTCACATTTAACGGTAATTTTCCACCGTTATCTCGTTGTTGTTTGGGTTTGAGTTGAAAATCCTGACGTCGCCGTCTGGACGACAGAAGGTCAGTTTATCGACAAAGATTAACACCCATTTTCAGTGCAATTCGTTCCGTTCTCCACATCGAACGCCCAAGAGCATCGCATGCTGTTACGAGGGAGACTACTGTAATTTGAGAATCACTCCACCACCATACAGACAGCTACCAAGAGAGCCAGGTAGATTTCTTTTCAGTTTCTGACTAGTTTAAAGAAGCAGTTGCAAGTGATCTAATACTGAGCCTAAAGGAATTTTTTTGACAACCCTTTAGGATTTGATGCGAAAAAGTCGGTCGTCATAGCAAGCTTCCTCTATATTTCTGAAGGAGTAGTTTTTGAACTGTTGAATTGCATTGAACTGAAGCAGGGGAATCAGAGAAAGAGAAAGAGAGGGAGAGGGACAGAGTTGGAGGAAAAGAGATAGAGGGAGGAGGAGAGGAGAGTCTTCAAAGTGAGAATACTTGAGATTAATTCTTTGACCGCAGTTCATCATTGAGCTGATCTCAGACCTACATTAATTTGACGATTATCACAACTGATTCGTATCAAATAGTTCAATAAAGATGTTTTCTAAAGGCGTATATTTTTCCTATCACAAAAACAATATTCTAAAAAAAAGCTCTCGGCGTCGATCAGTTCTGAAGGATGTTCTATGCATTCGACTTCACTAACCATCGTTTGTAGGTGACTGAATGCATATCTGGCCTTTACAATGACTCGTGCTAGCCTACCGTTGTATCGAGCCAGTGCTGCTATCCTACTAGTGAACTCTGGTACTAATTTGCCGACTCCGGGGAGATAGAAGGCTTGGTGGGTCATTGGCGTGGGGATCGATTCCGTGTGTGTTACAAGGCGCCTTCGACCACTGCGCCACACTCGCCCACAAAATCGTCGATAGTTTCCTCGAGAACCCGCTACTTTTTTGTCAAATTTATTGAAAAATCAAGAGAAACACTCGATAAGACGACAGAGCAACTATTCATAGCGTTGTTCAGAAATTCTGAAATTGGTCTGCTTGTAGAATTCTACGACGACGAATGGCTGAAGAGCAAATGGCATCCGCTGGCTTACACTGCCATCCCATTCGCCTTTGTGCTGTCTATCGCCGTCATCGTTTGCCTATGGCGATATTTAGCAGCCAAACATGATAATTTCTCGAAGCTTTTTCCTCTAGGTTTTCTGTTTTCTAATTTATACTTCTGTTTTAGATGCCATTAAGTTAATAAACAATGTGATTGCAGCCAAAAAGAAGAAGAGCCAAGAACTTTTCCCTACTCCAGAAATTGAGTCGATACTATATGACGATTCAGGGTCAGTTCCTGTTGTCAAGAATTGTACGAGCCATTTACGGTTAAATTTGAAATGAAAGTGTTTGCGAGGATTAGATAGCATGGTCAAAGAGGTGATGCTACTCTAGAATCACTTCAAATCAGTAACTGATGAATTGTGCACATGCGGCCGACTAGAAAGTTGACGAAAGTTTTGATAGCAGCTTTTAAAACACCTCTATTGATGATTATATCACATTGCGTCCACTTCCCTAATAAAAATATTTACTTGAGATCTTTTAGAGGACCTGAACAAAATAAGAATGTCTGGTGGGGTCTCACATTGCGATTTCCAGATTCTGTACCTCTACCGGGTTTCTTAATGTCATGAGAGCAACCCTACATGTGTATAAAATTCTACTACTCGATAGGTAGGAAATAATGAAATTACGCAGTAAAGCTCAAATAGCGTAAAAGTAATAGTTTGTTGTATTTTTAAGTTTAGATGAATTAATTGCGGTTAGGAAGTTTTTTTGGAGACAGAAAAGAGTTTTTGCTATGTTAGCGACGATGATCCGGGTTATAAACAAGTTGTAGAAGTGGTTCCGGATCGGGTACAGCGGCCATGGTGCAGAGAACGGTCGCGAACGACCTCGTCATAGAAAAAATTATCGGAAAAGGCAGGTGAGTGTGAAAAAGTTGTTCGCCACAAAATATGAATGATGCAGTTCAATCATCTCACTGGAATTTGCGACCGTGTTCATTTCTAATTTTCGAAATCTTTTTGGAGATATGCGTATTTCCACGACAATAAAACTTCATGATGAACACAAATCAGCGCTTCCGGATCCATTCATGGAAAAATGCTGTTGCTCGATGTGACTGTGTTGCTTGAGCTGTTACTAGACCGATCCAATGAGTTTAGATGACCAAATACCTATTTAACCTTATTGCAGAAATAGCAAAGCAGATAAACACGACTGATTGTTGTTAGAATGAAGCGTTCTCTAAGACGGGGATACTTTTAGATACGGTGAAGTTCGTATCGCAAAATTCCGGGGCAGCTTAGTCGCAGTGAAGGTATGTGAGTTCTTCTTATTAAGTACGATTAGAGCAACGAAATAGGAAGAAACCAGTTCACCGTAGACTTTCTACACTACTGAAGAGGACTCGTGGAACAACGAGAGAGAAGTCTATGAGACGCAGATGCTCAATCACGAAAACATACTACGTGGGTTATTCTCCATCTATGTGTTCTAGTGCATTTCTTTTTCACTTGTTAGCGTTTGTTTCGGTACCAGCGGTAGTGATCACACTGATCCACTGGAAGTTCAGTCCCATGCATAGCATTTGAATGTGACTCATAAATTTGCGGTTTGAAATGACCGGAGCGCTCATGGGCGCCGTTTTTGTGCTTTTCTCTTATAAACATTTCCGAGTTTTACTTAAACAAATATATGTTCTTCGTTGATCCCTTACTTCTTATATCAAAAGGAAATGACTCTAAAAATCTTCTCCCAGTTGTTCGGCGAGGAGGGAGGTATATTTGAGACAGATATGCATCTGTTTTTGAACCACAAAAGCATTGTAGGCGAAGCGAAGGAATTTGTCGAAATGACTCAATATAATTCTATGAGGGACCTTTTAGCCTTGATTGTTGACACAATCATTGTATTATACTATATATGTATGTACATGTAAATTTAAAAAGAAATTGAAGCCGCAGAAAACAACCTTCTCCGCTTGATAGTCGAAGCCGTTAATTGTTGCAGAGTATGTTGCTGCCGATATCTTCAGCATGGATTCACTCACGCAGATGATACTGGTGACCGATTATCACCCGCATGGCTCTCTCTACGACTACCTTCAAGAGGAACAGGCGCTCACTGCAGTGGAAGCACTGCAGTTGGCGTACAGGTGGATCTTACACATTTTAACAGTTCGGCTGACATCATCCACTCCCGTGTCCACGCCGTACTAGTTGACCGTGTTTTATGTCAGGCAATGGTAATGGGTGATATGATCCTAATGTTGTGCCGGTGGAATCCGATTTATAAAGCGAAAGATTTTCTCAATTCAAAACTCCAGAACGTTAATGAGAATCAAAAGCCGTAATGTCCTGCTTTTAATTATCTTGCGCTTAAATTACAGTATCAAAAAAGGTTTCTTAAAAGAAGGATTTCAAATGTTACCAATTTATTTTCTTAAGAGGTCGTCTAGAAGTCAGTTTATCGCGAGTTTCGCTGAGTTCATCAGTGGCAAAGCATCTGATTGATGTAAATTTGCCCGAAATTGTTTGCTCATGGTAACGTAGTGTAGCAGAACACACCTGTAAGAGCAGTTCTAAGGTTTAAACTGTCACAGCTTTTGTGAAATAGAAGCTAATGAAAACTAGGTTTCCTCAATGATGGTTTGCTTAACTTGGTTCATCCAAGCACAGTGTTGAATTTTAGTTGCAGCAGTTGATACCTGCCCATTCTTCTACTCGTCGGAAAATGAATTCATGGATCATTGATAATCCTAGGCTAATCGAATAAGGGACCAAGCGTTCGGTTTTGAGCCGTGTTTTAGAGAAGCAACAAGATATCGTCTCCATCAAGCATGACAAAGGTGGATGAATGCATATTTGGCCTATGAAATGGCCTTGCAGCGACCTATCGATATATCAAGCCAGTATTTTTTACCCTCCTAGACAAAGCTGGTTTCAGTCTACTGGCCCCGGATGCATGAGGCTCGAGATCTAGACTGAACCAAAGACTACGTGCATAATGCATTATGACATTAATAATGTCATCAACTTAGAATGACACGATGGATTATACTAGATGCGTCAATCTAAAAGGGTACCTATCGAGTGAATTTTCAGTATCCAGTTGTTCTTACTAACTCCAAAACAGAGTGATTCAATCTCAGGATTGCTCCATTCAACTTCACGGACATTGTAAAAGCTCATTAAACGTATCCAAGGATGCTAACGTTTCCTATTTTTACAACACAGTTGGAAGCGTAGTGAAATAGTGCCTTCTTTCTACGCTGATCACGAACACACTGTTATGGTTCCTTTCATTCTACAAGTTATTTCAGTTCCATCTGCGGCATTGAACATCTACACGCCTCAGTGATCGGTACGGGAAGCAGACGGAAGCCTCAAATCGCCCATCGTGATATCAAATCCAAGAATATAATTGTGAAACGGCCTGGGATGTGCTGTATTGCTGATTTTGGATTAGCAGTGAGATAGTACGCATTTTTCGTACATGTTTGTCTTTTATTTTTGCTTTTATTCCTTTGCTTACTAACTACCGATTGAAGAAGCGATAAACCTAGATTCTGATCCAAACTTCAACTAACGTTCAAAGCTACAAACAGCAACGTTTTAACTTCTATTTCGGCCCAGTCTTTTTTCCCTGTCAGAGTATTATGTGAAGCACAACTACAACGATGCTGAGATATGGGCAAGACCCGGCACCTCATGTGTGCTTCGAACCCCCTGTTACCCTTCCTGGAGGCCCACCAGTTGTGCACTGCCCCAATCGAGGCCCTTGCTTTACCTTTCTGTCAGCCACCTAACGGTGGTATCAGCAGTCACCCGTTGACGGGAATAAACTGGAGTGCAGAAATTGGCACAGACCCCACAAACCAAGTTTTACCTTCAAGATTCCACCGTCAGATTGATTGGGCAAGAAATTCTTTGTTAATTTATTGTCATCACCCAACGATCATTTTAACACCTAGCGAATCGCATGAATTTTAGAGGCTGGCTTTTATCTAACTTCGTATTGATCATGAAGTTTTTATGTTCGTATGAACGACCCTTGATGAGTTGGTATGAGGTTGTCCACGCTCTTAGTTTTCAGTGGGTGACGTTTGAGCTGAATCTTCTTGATGTTTTGTGGAATAAGAAGCAGAGACCGGTTCAGAAGAGTGCAATAGCTTATTGATTAGAATAAATATCAGAAAAGTTGTTGAGCGAAATGTCGAAAAATGTTTTCGAATAATCCAAACAAAATTGTAAAAAGTGTTTTCAAGTTTACTCGTATCAAAAGCACTTCTTCAGTGAAGATCGACTGATTCCCGAAAAGGTCAACATTCAAGTGGGAACGAAGCGTTACATGGCGCCGGAAGTCATCAAGAAAACGCTCAATCCGAATTTTTTTGCCGAATTTAAAATGGCCGATATGTATTCTTATGCGCTTGTTCTTTGGGAAATTGCTAGAAAAGTAGAGGTGGAGTTTATCTTACCGTTGAAATGTTTTTTATTTTTATAGAGCTCTGATCATATCACATGAAATTTTTGATGCGAGTCGAAAACTTTGAACGATAGAGGTGGTCTAGTTTACGGTTCCAGGGTAGAATCACTGACTCTGGCATTATTGTTGAGGACTTCTCAGCCAACATTTCATTTCAAAAAAGCCACCGCTCTGCTACTATGTCGGCCTTGAGAATTTAGAATGATCATTGCCCAGACGATTTCTGTGGTGCCAATTCCCGTCGAATCGGTCGACATGCAAATTTCAGACGAGCGACAATGTGGCGCCAGGGCGAATGTCTTCCACTGAATTGATGGACACCAGCGATTCGGACACGGTCGTTGTTATCTGAGCATTCGCTGTCCTTCTATCCTTCTATCGAACAAGGACGTTTTGTGAAAAAAGTCACAAATACTAATGGGTGGCGTTGAAAATATGAATCGATGACAAAGTGCGATTCAATAGTGGGAGATACGGAGTTTAAGGGTCATGAGTCTGTTTTAATGCTTATAGACAACTTGTAATAGTTCCCAGGATCGACTTTCTATTAACCTCGGCATTGGAATATGAATGTGTCGTTTTCTTGTTCAGCAATCGCGTGGTTTTTAAACAGCATACATTTACTTCCATAAAACACAATACAATACAACGGTAGCTGACGTTTCGGCAGTATCGTCTTCTTCAGAGCCTGGAAGGGTATGCTGATATACAATCTACTAGGCCAAACTCTTCAATGACACAAAAAGACGAAAAACTCTTTGGTAATTACGCGATCAACAACTTCTCGAAAAACCCACCGCTTTTTCGTGACTTCCAATGAGGAAGTTTGGAACAGCTGATTATAATCGCATATGGTTGATGACTGCACCATCCCACACGAGAAATTGATGTGAGCATACGGGGTCAGGTCGCGTATGACCTCCGGGCATTCGTCCCTGCTATTCATTGTAGGGTTTTAGGCATTGATCCAAAAAGCCTCAAGAAGTTTTCGCGCTGGTGTTTTGGACTCCTGTGCAAGGATATTGACTTGAACAACCGCAAACGAATTCCTTACGATGTTTAACGTTTTGTTCTCTGCCTTCTATAATTTTCATGGCAGGTTACTAAGCGAAATATAACCACAACGTTGCTGAGATATTTGCAAAACTCTGGACCGCAGGTGTCTATGGTGGGGAACGAACGCGCTATTGTCCTTTCCGGGGAGTAACGCGTTCGTTCCCCACCATAGACACCTGCGGTCCAGAGTTCCTTACGCTTCTGATAATAGTCAAAATGGGGTTGATAATGCACCAAGAAAATCTAGGGTCACTGTTATTGGGAGCATAACAATACCTGAGAATGCGCGCTCGCTATTAGAAGTGGGCCCAAGTTTTGCGCCATCACAGCCCGTTTCTAAAACGACCCTGCGTAGGATAGCATGCAACCTTTATGAGCTTCAAGATCGACTCCGCTATCAGGCCAAGCAAGAAACATCAAATAGAGATAAAAATCAAGAGGCGGCGGCACTACCACCATCTCCTTTCCCTAAAACGTTTTTTAGACAGCAGGACCCTAACAATGGAGTTGACATAGAATTCCGCGTGTTTTCGGACGGCGTTCTCAAGACCCTTGATCACTACCGCGATAGAAAGTTTATCTCTAACCTTACAGCCACACAAAAATGTGGCATGCGGGAAATTAGAGGATTAATAAACTCGAAAACAATAAAATTGTCTGTTAGTGATAAGGGGGGAGAGTTCGTAGTTATCCCTCGCCAGCTGGTTGTTGAGATAACAGAGGAACATCTTAGTGATGCTACTCTCTATCGCCCATCCTCTGAAAAGGAATATAAAAGTCAATACCGAAAGCTAAACAATCAATGGGTCAGTGTGGCAAAGGCTGCAGGTTTAAAATCATCGCTTATTTCGTACTTTAAAATCGATAGACCAACATGTTCCGTCCTATACCTACTTATTAAAACACATAAGTTGGCATCACCTGATGATCACGCGTCAACCAATTCGTCATCATCTAAGGTTAGACCGATCATCAGCTGTGTAGACGGGCCAACGGATAGAGTAACCTGGTTTTTAAGCCTGATACTTACCCAGTTGCTTAACCACATTCCAGCCCACCTCACAAACACCCAAATGTTCCTGGAACGTCTACGTAACGCGTCTCCCAATAACGCGTACGTGATGGAGTCTTTCGACGTTACCGCACTGTACACCAACGTGTCGAATGACTCCGCAATGCAAGCCATCTTCGAACTTCTTGTTGAACATGAAGGAAGAATAAATATACATGGCTTGTCCATCCAGCAGCTAATGGCTCTCTTAAAGGAGTGCCTAAACTGTGCGATTTTCAGATGGTCTGGGAAATATTTCGCGCAAATGAAGGGGTTGGCAATGGGACAGCGATTGGCACCAAGCCTTGCCATTGTGTTTATGTCTGAGATAGAAGCCCCTGTTCTCGATCTCCGGCCACTACTCTACTGCAGATATGTAGATGATTGTTTTGTCGTCTTCTCTACGCAGGAGGAGATGGACAAATGCTTTGAATTATTGAACGAGCAGTCCGAATACATAAAGTTCACCCGGGAGAAACGGAGAAAAAACTGGCTTCCGTCTTTTGGACGTTCAAATAAACCTATCAATTAGCGGTTACCTGACAAAGTGGTATCGAAAGCCAAGTAACAAGAACATTCTTGTTCATATCCTTTCTTCCCACCCTTCACACACAAAGAGGGCGATTGTGAGAAACATGTTTCGAACAGCCACCTCTGTGTGCACAACCAGGGAACTAAAGGAAGAGCCGTGTCGCGCGACTTGGCAAATAGCCATCTCCAATGGCTACGAAATGGTAACCTCACGAGATAAGTTTAGAAGGAGAACGACGCGCCTTCGCGAAACACTTGGCCAAAAGAAAGTCCCGTTTATGTTGCCTTTTATAAGCGATGGAGTAAGCGTAGCTATAAAACGACGCTTAAGAAGGGCAGGTCATGAGGAATCGGTAGCGATAGTTGAAATACCACCGGCTACTCTACGTCGCCAATTAGTTCGCAACCGCCTGTATGACCGCCTGTGTGAAACAACAAATTGCGTAATTTGCCCTTACAGCAGGGACGGTGATTGCATGAGTTCAGGTACGATATACCTGATCTCTTGTAATAATTGCGGAGATGAATTTATTGGCGAAACGGACAGACCTTTGTGTATCCGTGTGAAAGAACAGCTAGATGGCAAACGGAAACTAGGACGAAGCACCCCACTAGGCACGCATAGGATACAAAAGCATAGCGGAGACGATTTTGAAGTAAAAGTCAATATCCTTGCACAGGAGTCCAAAACACCAGCGCGGAAACTTCTTGAGGCTTTTTGGATAAATGCCAAAAACCCTACAATGAATAGCAGGGACGAATGCCCGGAGGTCATACAGGACCTGATCCCGTACGTTCGCATCAATTTCTGGTGTGGCATGGTGCAGTCGTCAACCATATGCGACTATAATCAGCTGTTCTAATCTTCCTCATTGGAAGTCACGAAAAAGCGGTGGGTTTTTTTCGAGAAGCTGTTGATCGTGGAGTTGGCATAGAGTTTTTCGTCTTTTTGTAAGTGTTATTGAAGCGTTTGGCCTAGTAGATTGTATATCAGCATACCCTTCCAGGCTCTGAAGAAGGCGATACTGCCGAAACGTCAGCTAGCGTTGTATTGTATTGTGTTTTTTATGAAAGTAAATGTAAAGTAATCAATATGCTGTTTAAAAACCTCGCGATTGCTGAACAAGAAAACAACATATTCTTATAGACAACGTTCATTTGTTACGGAGGAACTCTATAGCGTTAACCATATTGAGCAATCCTTCGAAGTAAATTAGAGTTTCTGACTTTCTATAGTTTTGAAATACTTATTTCTACGCTTCTATAACCTGCTTTTACTAATCATACGAGTTTGGGCTCATTTCTCTTTACTTTACTTCCTCGATGGCGGTGCACTACAGGTGTCATTGCTTATACCAATGTGAGATCCACCCATGGTCTTTCCAGCTGTGAGTATTGGATTGATGCGAAACAAAATTCTGGTCTCATTGTTGTGGTTGTCGTAGAAGATACCTTCTGTTGAGTCAATTTTATCGTTCTTATGCCACTACTGCCACAAATTTCTCTCATTACGTAGTCAGCCTGTGTACGTTTCCTTTTGAAGATAGTACAATTTTCGGAGGACTAAATTACACAAAGTCGGGTTGGTAATTTGTGTTGTCGATTAAATTTAAGAAAACTTCGTTTAAGTACTGCTTGGATGGAGCGTGAAATTTGGTGGTGGATAGTACAGCGCCGGGCTGTTCACCTTCTTTTGCAAACCGTTCATTTCCATGTTTCTTTGGTTGGTTTGCACATAAGAAGTGGTTTTTGTGACAAAAAAAAATCACCAGCTTTGATTTTTTTAAAGTTCTCCAGCATGCTCTAGATTCTCTATGAACTTGATTTTCTCAGTTTATGCTCAATCCTATTCATTCATCTACTTTCTTAAGCTATTTGAACTTTGTTTATCCATCGTTGTACTCTTCAACATAACAGCATCGTCAAAGCGAACACTTTGAAAGCGAGCTTCAATCAATGTGTATGCTTCTTATCGTAATCGGATGTCTTTGCAACCCACTCCAACGCAGCGATGAACAGCTTCTGCAAAATAGGTCGCTATGTCTCACCTCTTTTCCTGTGGAGATGATAAGAGGTCAGTGGAAAGGCTACACTTTTGAGGTAAATTTGCGATAGCGCTCAGGTACAGTTCCTGTAGGATGTGCCCACTTCCACGCGCTGATGACTAGGATATTACCTGTATCTTCTGCCCGCACCGGTAAAAAAATCTTTTATTGCGTCTAGAGATTATGGCGAGGTTACTATGTGTCAGTTATATATGTAGCCCTGACTGTTAAGGTATTGTTAAACAATGAGTGTCGTGAATTGTCTGCAAGTGTATAAAGGAGTAAGATGGTTTGCTTTGATGGATAAACATCACACAAAATTTCTCGTAGCTCTTAATTCTCATAGTTCTCATGAGCGTCAGTGTTCTATTCATTGAAATTCCAGTTGTACGTTTACTAAAGTCTAATCAGTGTGATTTAGCAAGTCAATATAAGTCAATTTTCATGTTTTATCTAAAGCTCGTTGATACGGCCCATTTCATGACTTATGGCAGTGAAAAAATCATCTTCAATTCGCTTTAGGGAAAGAGTTTTCATTTTTCTGACAACGTAGCAAGACATGGGTCATCAACATTCTCGAGAGTTTAGCCGGCTGCTTCATCTGAAACAATTGTGTCCCGTAGTGCCTTGCTATATAGCGAAAAGTTCTGACTCGAGAACATGAAAGGTCATCTGACAAATCACGTTCCTGGTTGTTCCCAGTTTCACTTGATGCTAAACTTCATCTACCGGCATCTTGGTTGACAAATGAAGAATGTCTTCTTGGGTTGTAATTTCTATTGTTGTTCTCATTAACTGACTAAGAAGTTCGTATTGATACGATGACTTCTATAGCTAAACTAAATCCTGTTGAATAAATCTACCTTTATTGCAGCGTTCTAAACTCTACTGAACAATTTTAGAGCCCTGAAATGTGCGGCAGCTCTCTTGGTTGCAGTGAGTCTGGCTACGGATCGGCAAGCAGTGAGGGTAAAGCACTCACCGACAGGACAGCTATCATGTATTCGCAGTCAAATACCAACTATAAAATACAGCATATGCAGAAGAGCTCAGACGGGGTGAGTTCGATACCTTTTGCGCCTCAACGTATGTGACATCAGAATTGATGACTACTGTTCTCTATTTATTTAAATGATCTTATAAACCGATCTCGTTGTACTGGTGCCAGGTTGGTATAAGTTTTCATTGTCGCTGTCGTTGTTGGTCGGTAGCTGATGTTTCAGCGATTTCGCCTTCGTCAGAGCGGTGCTGTTAAGACTGAGGCCACTGTTCTGTCAAGCGAAGTAGCCGTCGTCTACCTTCTCTCCGAAATGCTAACAAAATAAAGTGACTTATTCCTCATCAAAGTGAATATAGAATTTAAAGAATCCTGCATGTGTAGGATACTTCAAAAACGATTTTATCTGCAATAACAGTTGTGCAGCTCTCGCTTTGAGGCGTCTGTCTATAGTACCTATCAATTTCTCGACCATACTATTTTTCGCTCTGCATGTGCAGGCTGTTCGCCACAATGGTTCTTTGACAACTGTGAACTAAAGAAAAATCGCATCTTCTATTGTTTCGTCGATACGCTAACACGATGTTATTGCAAAAACCTAACCTTTATCCGGTTAGCATTTCGGTGTCTTCAGAGAGGCGAATTGAGTGGATTGTCCACAACGTCTCCCTCGCCATTTGTGTCTTCGTGGTCGCAATAAGTTAAATTCAGTGGAATGGAGCACCCCTCGAAACTCCAGTCCTATTAAATAACCGGCTTCGAACCGACAGTCAAATAAAAGTTTTTCTAAATATCAATCTCATACTAGCGTTTCAGTGAAAAAATATATTGATTACTCTTGCTGAAGATGGATGAAAGCCGGTCCACAAAGTGCTACTTCGTCTCATTCTATTCAAGCATCTCCGTGAAGCCTAAGCCAGATATCTTTTAGATTCACCACTATAATAAAGAATAAATGATAAAGCTATCGGCATTGATCAATCCCTGAGGGATGCACCGTGCAGTCAATTTCACTAATTATCGTTGGAAGTGATTGAATGCATATGTGGCCTTTACAATGACTCACGGTGGCCTTCCGATGTATCGAGACAGTGCTGCTATCCTCCCAGGTAGGTCTGGCACTAATTTGCTGACCCTTGAGGGATGGAAGGGTCGGTGGGTCATGGGCGCGCAGATCGATTCCATGTGTATTTTGCAGGGCGCCACCGACCACTGCACCACACGCGCTCATTATTCACCGCTATAAAGAGAAAATTTTTGGTCACCTTAGGTCTTATCATTTCCTTAACATTAACAGTTAAGAAGGCATTATTTTCATCACTAGTTGTACATGTAACAATGTACCATTATAAAAATAAAACTAATCTGTAGGGTTAAACTTTCATTCATGGAATAGCCAGCTTGCTTTTGCTTGAAATATTATCCTTATTTGATAGTGAAACTGGACAATACTACTAATCGACTACTAATGCTATCACGTTTTTTAAGGAGATATCTTGAACCTGAAATTACATATATGTATTTACATACATTTATATATATATATATATATATATATATATTAAATCAGTAGTGTTTTATTAAACCTTTCCGATACTAAGTGACTGTAGATGTGGAGAGAAAAACCTCCAGTGTTCGTTTCAGTCGCGCCGGTCCTACCCATACAAGCCGCCTTTCGGCGAACTGGTCGACAGCGACCCATCGTTTGCGGAGATGGAAAAAATCGTCTGTGGAGCGAACGGAATGCGACCACCACTAGAGCCTTCCTGGACGAATGGTAGCAATGTAAGACCCAGCGATGTCCTTTCTAGTAATATAACTAAACTCAACTATGGGAAGTTAAATTTCTTGAAATTACTTCAACTTTTGTTCGTTGCTAGTATTTATCTGCAATACCCACTTTTCTAGTTAACTGACTAGTTAACTAGAACTGATAGAGAACTGAGGGCAACAACTTTTGATGAGGAAGAGAACTTGTTGATGGACTGCACTAGATAAACGTAGATTTAGCGCGCATGAAGTAAAACTTTTTTCGAACGCGTTTTAGTTTGAAAACAGATCCACTGATGTTGTTGCAAGTTGTGCACCCTGATTTTTTTCAACAATCTCTATGTTCAAAAATTCCATTAATTTCACTTTGCTACACTCTTATTAGGGATGGTCTCTTAGGTAAACACACGATTTCGCATTCACATCCGTGAAAATATTCTGAAGGTTTTTCTGAAATGGGGAAAATATAGAAGTGTTTAAGGTTCATCTACAAAAAATGATTGGTCTGATGGTCGACTGCTGGCACCATTCGCCGCATTGTCGTCACACAGCGCTCAAGGTGAAGATCGCCCTTGGAGAGGTGATCGAAGATCTGTTACAAATTCAGGTTGGTCCTGCAGTTCAGTAGTAGCGCGTTCTTCTCATGGACCGTCGACTATTGCACGATCACGAGCGAGTGTGCAAAACTATTAAACAGTCGCAGTCAAATTGATTTCTATCCTTTACATGGACTTCCTACTGTATCAATGATTCTTTGAGAAGTTGCGTTTCAAAATTCTTTAAGATCCGTGTGAATTCACACGAATGTGTTTATTTCAGCTCGGTATTTTATCAGAAAAAAACAGCCGACGAGATTGCTGGATTGAATTGGAAATTAGATATTACCCACTTTTTATTATTTATTTTATTCCTTTTGTTTTACATAGCCCATCATCACATCTACTGTACGGATCCCTACACGTCTTGCATCCGATTTGTTTGCATAGCACTCATCATCCACAATTGTCTTCTAACATTTGTGAGTTGTTTTGGCTGCTGATTGAAGATTTAATCTTCTTTATGAATGGCGCAGAATCCTGGTTGGATCTATTCTCCCTGTAATCCTAGCAATCTTGGAGATAACCATGCTAAGGTGTCTCCGCATGGATTGAGGGAGAACGTTGGAGAGGTGGTGGACGCAGCATTTTGCTTCTTGATGGACTGCATCATTAACAACTGCGCTACTTCTCCTCCTTATCTACCTTTTGTTGCAACTAATACTTCGTTCCACTAATATTCTATTGCATTACTTTGTGACTTTTTGTGCCATTCAGACGAACTAAGACTTACTATACAATTGGATCAATCACGGTATGCATGATTTCGATGGTGAAAAGTTTAATAAGTGTACAAATTCTAGCATATCAAATCTTATGTTAGGTCTAGTAATGAAGAAAATCGCAAGCAGAAAAACGAATTTTGAAATGAACGTGGTATAACGATCAGCTTTCTCGCATGAGAACGGTCAAGGCTCACGATAACGTTCGTGTACTTGAACAACTGCTTCTTTCCCTGCTTTCAGAGCCGCGAGATCCAGGAACGTAGTGTGTTGCCGCTGAGGGTGGTGGACAGAGTGCCGACCAGCCGCGGAAGGCTAGGAGCTCTGGTCGAGCCGCCTAACGAGTGCAACGAGCTCGTCGCCACCTCTTGACGTCTACCATTCTTCGACATAAATGCTTTCAGGACCGACTTTCTATGAACCTCGGCATAAATAGTTGATATATTTATTTATGTGATCTTATAAACTGATCTTCTTAAGCTGA